CACCCTTTCTTCCAAATAAAAGATCCAATTCATTGTCAACCATTATCAAAAGCATGGTTACAGTGTACTCAACTTGGTAAGATCATCCCCCAGCTGACGGTATTCGTGGTTATAATATAATGTTATTTTATTTCTATGCTGGACACGTGTGATAGCCCTATCAACTATGGGCCTGTTCGGCAGGCAAACTGCTGCGGCTGTGGCTGCGGCTGCGGCTGCGCACAGTGTGTGCAGCACTGTTCGTGCCGGCTGCGGCGCAGCCGCAGCCCGGGCAGCTGAACAGGTCCTATCCATGTCACTGCCATGATATATATTGGTTGGATGAAATTCTTTAAAAAGAAAAAGAAATTACTACCCAAAAACAATAGCAAACAATAGCTAGCACTATGGATATGGTGGTGTCGTCGTGCATCCTCTACTGGCTTTAAATCCTGGTGCACGCAATAAAAAATATCTGGGTTTACTTATACCATTATTTTAGTGAGATTAATAACTATCATTATTATTACATGTAGGCTTCTAGTAACTGCATCTTTCGAAATCTCCGTCTCCCCAGACAATTTAGATTATTGTCTATATTACGAGAATCTTTAATTATAAAATCTCGAACGTAACTAATACAAATCGTTCCAAAATATAAGTATTTCTACTCTGTTTAGCAAGAAATAAGGTTGAGAATATACTCCTTTATGGTCGCAACATTAGTCAAAATGTAAACTAAATTGCTTAGTTTCCCTTCCAAAGCTTTTGATTTGTTCAAAATGTATAGATTTTCATGAATAGAAAAAAAAAACACAGAAGTTATACTATGGTATAAATTTCAAATGATAGAAATGCTTTATAATTTAGAATTAAGGCAGGTAAAACAATAATTTGAGAAACCCAGCCTTTTCAAAATCTCACCATCTAATGCTCAGATCGCAACTGTCGAAGCAAGAAGATCCTCTAACAGGAAGGAAAAATACGCTCCCTTGAGTATTTGGCCAGGGTGCGAGCTCCAAGCTCATGTTCTGCTCATGCTCCAAGCTCCAAGCTCCCAGGAGCGTAATACCCTACTCCTGTGATGTTGCTTTGAATGATGAAGATTACAAATGTGGATCTCGAATTGTTTTAAGTGGGAGAGGATGAACCTTTCTATACTGTTTAGGAGTGAGTCCAACCCTATATCGGTGGCATGGATCCTCCTTTTATACGTGAAGTCCACAATGCACACTAGTACAAAATTCATTTTCCTGGGAAGGCACCCTAATAGATTGCAGACAGGCCATAAGTCTCCACGTCTGCAAAAATCGATCCTCATTTTCGCATACGGCTCGTTAAAAAACCTGCAAGCAAAAATCAAGTTTTCCGAACGGACCACTTAAAACGTCCGCCTGCGGGCCTCATAACTCACCCGCAAGCGGAAATACTCTTTTTTTACTCCCCTCTCACTTTCTCTCTTTCTCTCTCTCACCTCACTCCCTCCTAGCCTGTGCTCTCCTCTCCTCTTTTAACCTCCACTCCACTCCTCTCCTCTCCTCTCTTCCCCACTACCGGCGGCAACAGCAGGCGGCGGCGGGCGTTGACGACGGTGACAGCGACTGACATGAGGCAAAGGCACGGTGGCCCCCTCCGGCGGTGGAGGTGCGGATCCGGCGGGCGGCGGCCAACCCCCGCATGGATCTAGCGGCAACGGCCATCCCTACACGGATCCGACAGCTGGCCGCCCTCCTCGCACGCGGGATCCGTCTTGCCTCCCCTCCCCTTCCTTCCCTCCCCTTGCAGATCCGGTGGAGGGGAGGGGTGTCTTCAGCCGGCGACCACGGGGACGATGGTGATGGGCCTCGGGCATGACGGCGACGATGATGACTGTGGGCGGTGTGGCCGGAGCGGAGGGTGGCGTCGGCGGTGGTGGGGAGGCATGGGGACGGCGGATACGGGAGCGGGCGGCAACGGTGACGGCGACCACCAGGAGGGCGGCGGTGGCGGCGACGACGGCTAGGGTTAGGGTTCTGTATTTTTGGATTTTATTCTTTTCAAATTTAAAATTTTTGCATGCGGCCGACATAACCACCCCGCACGTGAAAATCAGAATTTCGCGTGCGGGTGCACCACCCGCACGCAAAAATCGTGATTTTTGCAAACCCCTGAGTGCGTGCGGGCCACCCATCCGCACGTGAAAACCGGTTTTGATCGCATGCGAAAATCTTTCTCGTAGTAGTGTCATATGCATACATACAAGAGTGATGAGCCCACCCCCAGAGAGGTTGGTGTGCTTGGTCTTGTTGCTCTCCCTCCAAGCAGACCGACCGGGTGAGACAGTTACACCTACTAGCTAACATGTGGAGCAGGGCAGCTGAACTCTTCATCCTAGTTATCAATGGGCCCACCCGTCAGCCACCGAGCTAGTAGGGGAGGGGGCGGGCTTGGATGAGTGTTCAGGGCGTGCCGTGTCGTGCACCTTTTTCTCTGTGGTGACGCGGGAATGCTAGAGGTGGCATGCACAACCACGTCCTCCACGTCACTCGTGATCTATCGACAGGATATGTATCACCCCACAATTAATGCCAATTGATGAGGTAAAATAGTGCATAGGACCGGATCAAATCTCCCTAATAAAATAGATTCCCCTGAGAAGACCTCATGTGTCGTGGGGCTTTGGCACACCTGCAGCAGGCGTAGGGGCCCTGAGGTGCGGTAAACTTGCTCCTAGGCTGCTGCTACCCTAGGGTTACTTGAGGCCCTACGCCATTTCGCATTTTGTCCCTGATGATTCGAATGATGCCCTGAGTATTCGATGGAGTGGGGACCCTCATTTCCACTTCTCTGACATCAACCTTTCCCACGTAGGACACAAAGCATGTGTACTTAGGGAACCCTTATGGCTGAGTGGATATAATGTGGTCTGTGAAATACACTACTACATAAATGATTTTTTTGCGTACACTCCTTTTATTTCTACAAATGAACTTAAAAAAGATCTACCTACAAAAATATACTAGGGTGTCACCGCACCGGCCACCTGTTCCGCTCTTTTTTTCTCCTTGATCATGCCTCCTCGTCCCAAACCCATCCCACCACCCACCTTATTCTCTCCTCCTCCTTCTCTACTCTTCCTCTCCTTTTTTCTCTTGTCCTCCTTCCTCCTCTCCATGTCTCCAGCCAGCCTCTAAACATCCACTTTCCCCTCCTCTCAACTCTCTTTCTCACAACACACCACTGCCTCCTCCTCTCACCGCACAGCAGCAGACATGAGGCGGCTGGATCAACACGCGTGTTAGGGGAGGTGGCCAGATTCGGCTCACGTGGTGATGGAGGCGATGACAGATTCGGCGTGCGATGATGGAGGTGACAGTGGCTTCGATGGTAGCTGGAAGGAGGTAGCGAGGGGGCGGCGTTAGGAGGCCGATGGACTTCAGCTAGCGCAGGCTTGGCGCATGTTGGGGTGTCGCCTCACAATAGCCGGACCTTATGGCGGCGGTCTCGGGATGGGTGGAAACATTGGTGCAGCCATTGGAGCCGTGGATCCATTGATGGTGGAAGTGGTGGAGCCGAGGGACACGACAACAACAATCTCAATCGTGTGATGATGTCATCAGCCTATAACACGTGACGATGGCGGTTCACTACGGCGGTGGCCTCACGATTACATTGCTAGGGTTTTAGATTTGTTTTGTTTTCTTTAAAAGTCTTTGCAATCGGATGTCCTAACCTTAGCCACTTGCAAAAATGGGTTTTTGCAAGTGGCCTCCTTAGGACATCTATCTGCAAAAATGTACATTGGTGTGAGGTTATGGTGCCCGCACATGAAAATATCGATTTTCACATGCACCTAGAGCCATCCTGCTCCCCCCGTGAAAATGGGCTTTGGTTGTTTGTGTAGATAATTTCTGTAGCAGTGCTAGCGGGGGATCCGAGCGTGCGCGTACGCGCCAGCAATTTAGCTGGCACGTGCGCTAGCTGGGTTTCGTCCCCGCGCGCCCTTTTTTTTTCTTTTTTCACACTTCTTTTTTCCGATCCTGGTTCCTCCGACGCATGTTTCTTTTTTTCCGTTTCTTCCCAATTTTTTTTCAATCTATCGCATACCTCTTTACAAATGTAGAATTGAAATTTTTTAATTTTGACTTGAAAGTTTTCAAATTTGAGTTGAAAGTTTTCAAATTTGGGTTGAAAGTTTTCAAATCTGGGTTGAAAGTTTTTAAATTTAGGTTGAAAGTTTTCAAATCTGGGTTGAAAGTTTTCAAATCTGGATTGCAAGTTTTAAATTTAGGATGAAAGTTTTTCAAATTTGAGATGAAAAGTTGAAAGTTATCAAAATTTGACTTAAAAAAATTCAAATTTCGAGTTGAAAGTTTTCAAATTTGACTTGAAAGTTTTAAATCTGGATTGAAAGTTTTCAAATTGAGTTGAAACTTTTTTAAATTTTAGATGAAAAGTTAAGTTCAAAAGATTCAAATTTCAAGATGAAAGTTTTCAAAGTTTGACTTCAAAGTTTGAATCGAAAGTTTTTAAATTTTGTGTTGAAAGTTTAAAATTTTAGGTATGAGTTTTATTTTTTTAATAGAGAGTTTTAAATTTTATTATTATATATATTTAAAACAGGAAACAATGTTTGTGAAAAGAAAAGAATGAAAAAAAAAGAAGGTTATCTTGCCATGACTTTTGGAAACAAAATTCACCGTTTTTTCTCCACATGCACACGTGCGGCACTTCGCGTGAAAAAAAAAAAAGAAAAAAAGCGTTGCGCAAAAAAGAAGAAGGACAGTGGTGGGCTGAGCGCTGGGCTGTGGGCAGCGTGCGAGGGCATTGAGAAACGCTCGCGACTTGAGCTCGCGACTTGAGTTTACGGTGCATACGCGCTAATTAGCAATCCTGAGTGCTAGCATATATATGTGTATGTTTTGTGTAAATTGGGAATAATGGATTATTACCTTAAACTAATCCCACTAGGCGATGATCAATAATGCACCATACTGAACAAGTGAACAACGATATAAATCAATGCCATGCGCCAACTAAATAAGGAAAATAACTACCCATAATACAAGCTTAGCAAGCCTAGATAGAAGGTAGCGATGTCGAGTTCGACTACTCCAATCTCGCCCCAGTTGGTCTCTCCCACTGACGATGAACTCCTACAGGCGCAGGCCAACCTGTGGCGCCACAGCCTCTACTACCTCACCTCCATGGCGCTCCGGTGCGCCGTCAAGCTCGGCATCCCCACAGTCATCCACCGCCTCGGCGGCAACGCCACGCTTCCCGCCCTTATCACTGCACTGTCCCTTCCGCCGGCCAAACTTCCATTCCTCCGTCGCCTCATGCGGCTCCTTGTCAGCTCCGGCGTTTTCACCACCGAGAGGGGCGGCGCGGCCGCGGAGGCGGAGGCGGTATACGGCCTTGCGCCGCTCTCCCTCTTCCTCGTCGACGGCGCGTTCACTGGTAGCGAGGTCGACGACGGCCACACCAACCAGTCGGCGTTTGTGCTCGCGGCGACCTCGGCGCACTACGTGGAGGCGGCGCTCGGGCTGGACGACTGGTTCATGAAGGACAACGTGCCCGCCGCGGCGTCGCCTTTCGAGGCCGTGCACGGCGCGCCGCTGTTGCACGAGACCCCGGTGGACGCGGAGCTCAACAGGCTCGTCAGCGAGGCGCTGGTCTCGCAGAACCACATGGGGATCGGCCTGGCGCTCCGCGAGAGCCGCCGGGTGTTCGAGGGGCTGGAGTCGCTGGTCGACTGCGGCGGAGGCGACGGCGCGGCGGCGAGGGCCATCGTCAGGGCATTCCCGGGAATCAAGTGCACCGTGCTGGACCTTCCTCAGGTGATCGGCACCGCCCCGGTGGCCGATGGAGCGGTCGATTACGTTGCCGGCGACATGTTCAGTTACATTCCACCTGCTCAAGCTGTCCTGCTCAAGGTAAATGAATCGCTCCCTCTGTTCACTTTTATAAGACGTATCCTTGATTTCGAAGAAGTTAAACTTCAGATATTTTGACGAACATTTAGTAAGGATATAAATGTATTTAGCGTATAATGTTTTAGCTATAGAACAATATTTCAAAGAAGTTTAAGATCGTACCTATTAAGAATGTATATTTAAGAAATTAATATTCAAAGTTTAGTCTTCGAGGCTATTCTAGAGTAAAATACGCCTTATAAAGTAAACAAAGGGAATATTGTCCGTAACTAAGGATGAAAATGGTTTGAAAGTTTTCGCTTTGTGATCATGTTTTTGAAACATTTTCTCAGAAATAGAAACGAATACGATAAAATTACTATCCATGAAACCAGAATTCGGTCGAAAAATTTCTAGAAATTTTCGTATATAATTCATTAGCTCCAACTTTCTCTATTATAGAAGTTCAGATTTGTAATAACTATTAAGGTATAGTTGAATGGAGATGATTTCTGTACAAATGACTATTTTTTTATATTAGGCCTTCCATAATCAGTTATAGTAGCTCACATGGAAAGAGAAGTACACGCATAACTAGATTTTATTATTAGTTAATAAAAGGTAGAAATGTTGATTTTTTAGATAATGGAATTTAACATCCCAGCCTTTACTAAAAAGAGCTACAGCCAATTATTACACAGTAGCACTCCAGAAAAGAGCGTAGTTCAGATAAATAGAACACACCAAACAAAAACGGAGGAAACCAAGCCAAAATAAGGAGAACATATTTATTGAAGTCTATTTGTAAACCTCCATCCATAATTGGCAAATAGTTGCATAACCATCGACTCCAACTTGCGACATGCAACCTTTAGGAACTCCCCATCATCCTCACACCTTTGTAGCTGTGCCCAAAACCGGAGCCAGTACGTTGCCCTGAAAATTACCTACCACTGTTGCTCCGTCAGAAATGTTGATGAGACTATAAATCGGCGCTCTATTTTTTTCCTAGAAATCCGGCATACTTTTGCCATGTTCTCTACTGTACGTGTCTGAGGCATCCTGACACTCTATCCTTGCTCTCTCTACACCCTACATGAGTATGCATGTGAGTTTAGAGCGAAATTTCAATCAATTTTTTCTTTCAAGTTTAGACTATAAATCTACTATCCAATGATGCGTTGTATTTCTTACAATTAAATCTCTATAAAAGATCTCAAACGATTGTATTTTGATTAAAAAATTGAATGTTTCACCATTTATATAAACTTTTTTCAGTTCACTCTAGAAAATGTTTCAGAGAGATGCAACAATCAAAATACACTGACTGCAACACCATCAAACATTGCACGAAACATCAAGTCCCAACATATGAAACATAAAGAAAACTCATATGAAATACAAGATATATTTACAAATACTTGATATTGTAAATTATTTTATATCATCTTTGAAACATTAAATTGTAACTATTGAAAAATATAAAATACTAGATGAAACATCATTAAATTACTAGCTGCAACATCCCAATAAAACCACACACGACATGTATAAAAATTTACAAAAAACTACATATATTTTTTATTGGAATATAACCTTGTGTGGCCTAGTTGAAAAGATTTAATTGCAATAAATTTAAACAAATTTTTTATTGGAATATAACCACAACTTTTCGTTTTTTATATTTGAACAAATTTTTTGAATAAGATGAGAGGTCAAACGATGCAAGCAAAAAGTAAAAATCCCTTATATTATGGGGCGGAGTGAGTAGTATATGAGACAAAACCAAAAGAAGACCTGCAGAGAAGTTAAATAATACAGCAGCAATGTGCAGGAGAGCTGCTGGAGGGCGCCCGATTTCTGAGCATGGATCGGGCGTCTGACCCAAAGCAATCTACGAAAAAATACAACCTATATCTCTTAATTTACCGTATTCACTCTATATCTATATTCGATAATATTCAATTATGATTTTTATCGGGAGTTTTCAATTTCAAGTCCAAGTAAAATAAAATATTAAAATTAAAAAGGTAATTAAGTTGGTTTCTGTCCATTGTCAAGTCGTTACAATCCCAATCCAGAACTGTTAATGGTTGGAGAACTGCTTTAATTAAGAAATGGTTAATTACTCATGCATCGTTTTTATGATGTATTGTTCCACGAAACAGTATGTGTTGAGCCACTGGAGCGATGACGACTGTGTGAAAATCCTTGCACAATGCAAGAAAGCCATTCCTTCGCGAGAAGCCGGAGGTAAGGTGATCATAAAGGATGTAGTGGTTGGCACTTCTTCTGGACTGATGCTTGAAGCCGAGCTTCTGATGGACATGGCCATGATGGTGATGACCTCTGGACGGGAAAGGGATTAACAAGAGTGGCGTGAGATCTTCACTAATGCTGGATTCAGCGACTACAAGATCATGAACAAACTAGGAGCTCGATGTGTCATTGAGGTCTACCCGTGAAGGAATTTCGATATATGTCCATATATAGTTTTATATTATGCTCTAAATAAGTGCTTTCTTGCAATTAATTAAATATATAGAAGATATGGATCAAGATTCTTGTCAGGTGAAGTTATATGTTCTCTTTGGTTACACTATATTTTATATGTATTTCTGTCAGTTAAGAACAAAGTTAATAAATTGCAGTGCCCCTTAAGGCTTAGTTAAGATTCAGAGCTTCCCGGTTCTGTTTTTTCTGGTTTACTTGGCAGCTACTGTCGAATTAAGTTTATTAGTGGAAAACCCGTGCATATTTATTGATGTTATATAAATAGTACTCCCTCCATCTACTTTTGATAGACATATTTCCAAATCTGAAAAATCTATTTTTGATAGGCATATTTCAATTCAACAACCTATCATCTTAATTAATGACTTTCTCGAATTTAATGCGTGACTCTCCATTCTTCCACACAAGATTGGCTACATGGGCATCGAGAAATGTAAATATTAATGAATCGCTTGTTTACGAGGAATAACTAGTAGCATATTTAAATGGATGATAAGTAGAATTACTTATCATTGGTCTGTGTGCCAAGATGAAATATAACTATCAAAAGTAGATGGAGAGAGTACTAAGTAAGTTATATATATATATATATATATATATATATATATATATATATATATATATATATATATATATATATATATATATATATATATATATATGTTACTTGTTTTCAAATACTCCCTCCATCTACTTTTGATGGTCATATTTCCAAATCTGAAAAATTTATTTTTGATAGGTATATTTCAATCCAACAACCTATCATCTTAATGACTTTTTTGGATTTAATGCATGACTCCCCATTCTTCCACACATGATTGGTTGCGTGGATATTGAGAAATGTAAATATTAATGAATCGCTTGTTTACAAGGAATGACTAGTAGTATGTTTAAATGGATGATAAGTAGAATTATTTATCCTTAGTCTGTGTGTTAAGATGAAATATGACTATCAAAAGTAGATGGAGGGAGTAGTACACAGGGAGGGAAAATAACCTGAGCAAAGTAATTGGCTTTTCCATCAGCCCAGATTTATAATGTAAAAAATGACCGTCACATTGCAAGGACTACATGCATACAGTTCAGTGGTCAGAGCGTGCATGAATAATATGCCCACTGTACGTGAGGCTAGGCGTCAATTATGACGTAAGGTAGAGCTGGGCTTTTGCTGACGGTGGAAAGGTCTACAAATAACTCACACTTATTGTCCTCCCCTACATATAACTACTTAATTACTATACTGTCACATACTCCCCCTGCCTCCAAAATAAACTTACATCGTACCGGATGTGACACATCCTAATACAATAAATCTAAACAAAAAAGTATCCAGATTCACCATACTAGAACGTGTCACATCTTATACGAGATTGGTTTATTTTGGAATAGAGAGAGTACTGTCCTAGCAGCATCTGAAGTGGGTCCACCAGAGAAGGTGTGCTGTAGGAAATTGGCATCAACCAACTCCCACGTTTAGGATAAAAGACGTCCTAGAGGCGGGTGAATAGGATTCCTTAAGAACTTGGCCAAATTTAAACTTAATTTTGTGGAAGAAAAAAATGCCAAGTAAAACGATAGGAAATTCCAATACAAGACTCAACAAGTAAGTATCGAAGATTCGACAGCCCCCTCCAATTCTCGTTGGAGCACTCAAGAGTATAGCTCCCTCGTATAGCTACAAAGTCTATGGGCGCTATTTTCATGGTTGTTCTTCTCTACTTTGAAGGTGAACCCCGAAACCTTGATAAATATTATATGTTCCAGTTAATTAAAAAACCGACACCAACAATATATTATAGATACCGGTATTTTAAAAATCCAACACCCATTAAAACTGAACCAAGCCAAGAGCCTAGGGTCTCACTTTTTTTAGAGCAAAGGAGGCCGAGTTCTTATCCACTTACCCCCTCTCGTCTCTCTCTCATCTCTCTCTCTATTTCTCTCTCTCTCTACCCCCTCACCTCCTCCTTCCCTCTCCGCGGATCCCTCTCCTCTCGTCCTGGCCGAGACGACGGCGATAGCGATTGGAGCCGCATCCGGCAGCAGTGGCAACTTCTCCCATGAAGGATTTGGCATTGGCCGGATTTATTTGATCGATTTGTTGCTATGTGATTTGGGGATTTTGGATTGATTTGTGCTAGGGTTTCAAATTTCATAAGAAGGGTTTCTGCCAGAGAGGAGCAAAAGAACCGAAATTTCAGAGTTTTTTTGTACGAAATTTTTTGAAGTTTTGACTGATTTTGAATGGATTTGAATAAAATTTGACCAAATTCACAAAAAATTGCAAAAAACCGAAAGTTTCGGGCGAGATATAAGCATTTCGGTGGAGGCAAAATTTCCGAAATTTCAAACCCTAATTTGTGCTATTTAATTTGAAGGTTTTCTATCGATGGTGGTGTGGATGTAATGAGGATTCACTACTAAAAATCCTTCGTGGGGAACAGTCATATAGGTGCCGATTTGACAAAAACCGGCACCTATAAGGCGTTTCCCGCCCAACATTACAATAACCGGCACCTATAAGGCCTTATAAATGACGTTTCTTTGGGAGGCACATTGGTGGCGTCCGTTCACTATAAACCGGCACCTATGTAATAGGTACTGTTTCTTAAAAATAATCGGCACCTATTATCTTGTTGGCGTGTACCGAATCGAGATAATAGGTGCCGGTTCTATTGCATTGTGACATGGCCCGGGCATGGTTATAGCTGCCAATTTTTCATATAAGTTTTTCATATAGTCAGATGAATATAAACTTTATATCAAATTTGTATAGCTCTACAACTTTGTGGTTGATAACGTTCTGATTTATGGTCGTTTGGATGTCCGAAAATGTGACATTATAATGTCTCATATCTATTTGTATATTTAAGTTTGTAAACAATCTCAGATGTAGACAAAACATAAACAAAAGTTGTAGATCTAGATGATATCTATAATTTTTTAGTTGACAAAAATTTCATTTGAGCTCATCTCTAGTGTTAAATATGGATTATAAGTTTGGATAACAATGTCTCAAAAGAACAATATTTGTTTCCAAGATAACTAGTGTTTGTAGGTGATTTGGTAAGGAGGTTTTGGATGGAGAGAGAGATTTGGAGTTTAAATCTTGCATGAGGCATAATTATGAATGTAGGTTGAAAAAATCTTGGGACTTATGAGAAGTGAAGTATGACCATATAGGTGCGGAATAAAATTTCAAATATTTTTTCAGGGTATTTTAGCACCTACAAAAATTAAAAACGGATGCATCCCTATAGGTGCCGATTCTAAATTTAGAGGAGCGGCACCTATAGTATCACATAGGTTCCGGTTCTCGCACCTATATATGGAGTCTTCCAAACTGGCATATATGGGGTTGTTTGTAGTAGTGAGTGGCTCGATGCATCGGCTCGAATCAAACCGATGCATTGAGCCACCTTTTTTTTAATTCTTGAAATCTTCGACCACCTCAAAAGGTGCCATCTTTTGGGTACCAATTACGGTTGCGGTTTGTGTAATAGTACGGGACGGTGCCCTGTTCTCGTATCTGTTGCATTCTATTCTCGGATCCCTGTAGACAGACAGGAACACATAGAATCGTCCAAGAATACTGAGCCCACTTCCTCCCATGCATGATGCATGATCAAGAAACCTGCGCGTCTTTCCATGTGCTCCGCTACCGCTTGTCTGGTGAATCAGCCTGTAGATGCTGCAGATCAGCCAAATTTAAGAAACAGGTTGCTCGCTAAAAAAAAAAAGAAGAAGACGAAGAGAGAAGAAAATTAGGTCGACAAGGTTTTAAGAAGCACAGAACAGCTAAACTCTTTAATTATCCCAGGAATACCAAAAATTTCCTCTACAAGACAGCATCCATTCCTAGTCAATCCACACCTCTTTAATTGTTTTCTGTTTTGTTGCTAATTACAGCCCAAGAATTATGAGCTGCTGTACATCAAATGTCAATGTTGGGAGTATATATCTGTAGTTTAATTTGTTACTTTGATAATCAGCTACCGTCAGTATTTCAGATTTTTATTCTCTTTTTTATTTGAATTTTAGGTGGATGATACGCCCCTCTGTTCTAAAATAAATTAATTCCTAAGGGCAATCATCGTATTAAAATCAACTAATTCCTACCATCTTAACTACCATCGGTTCACAAATCTAGTAATTTTATCTCTTTAATATCACTTACCTACCAACCACCAATATCATTTCCATTAATAAGGGAACTGTAATCCTTTGGCTCACCAGTAGTATTGTGTGGGGATGTGCGCGCAGGGGTTTGATACTTTCTCGGACAGAATAAGTATTTACTGTATTTGGATTTGTTAGCTGACAATGGGGCCAATATTTGAAAGTTCGTCGTGTAAGCACCAACCAGCCTAAGATTCCAAGCCTAAGGCTGCGTTCAGCAGCAACACAAAGAGATGAAAACTTTTTTTTCCACGTTGCCAAATGTTTTTTCTTAAAGAAAATAAATAGAGGAAGTATTTCTTGATATATTATACCCACCAACTTTTGTCAGTGTTAGTCTTGTGTTTTCCTAATTGTCATAGTAATTGTTTCCCACACATTTCTTAATTTCGTGCTACACGTAGGAGTACATATTTGGCAGAGTTGGATTGTTAGGTTCATTGTTATCATATGTGTATGAGTCCGCAACGTACATTGTATATCCAACCAGCTACCCAATAAAAGTTGAATAACAGCAATATGTACAAAATGACAACTTCCGTGTCTTACATATGCAAGAACAATGTGTTATTCATATCATAATACATCCAGGTACAACAAAACAAGCACCAAACATGGCCTTGTTGAAGCATCTATGTACAGTCATGGTACACAGAAAAACACCGATCGATCGATATCTGGAGCGCAATTCAGTATTTTCTGCAATAGATGTTGACCAAACATTGTATAGTACCCAAAGTCAAAAACTTTAGGTAATTTTATGTCGGGCATGGAACTTCCTTACAGATAGTAGGGCACTCTCTTTATTTACCTTCTTACGGCACACATCCCAACACGAAGCACACATTACACATAAGATCATTTAGGAGCTAGGTAGCTCAATCTTAGGGATAGACCTCGAAAACTCCTCGAGCTCCAAGCATCTTCACAATCTTATAGTCATTGAATCCTGCTTTCAAGAACAGATCTCGCCAATCCCTTTCATCTCGCTGCCGGCCTCTTGTATTGACCAACATCAGCATATCCATCATCAGCTGGGCTTCAAACATTACTGGTCCTAGTGAAGGTCCAACCAGTATCTCTATGATGATGACCTTCCCTCCCTCCTCTCGTGATGGAATGGCCTTTCTGCACTGAGTCAAGATCTTCACGCAATCATCATCGCTCCAGTGGTGCAATACAAGCTGTGATGGAAAGAAGTTGATTAATCAAGCATGCATAGATCATCAGTATAAAAATTTGTAGGCAGTATGTATAACCCTGTTTTCAGAAAGGCACGTATATATGCACACAAATCACGATGCGCTCAAACCACACAACTACTCAGGTAGAACCATAAGGTTCTCATTCTTGATGCATGGTCAACAGACTATATATATAGTAAAGGTTGGTGATAATCCATGAAACCTGTAAAGCACCTATCAAACTCGTAACTTTTTCCCCCCAAAAAGGAAAAACTACACTTTTTTATTTTAAACATTTTTGTTTGAAAATTGAAACTAAACGTTAGAGTGAGAGTGTGAATGTAGGCACTAGGATTTGAAGTATATATTTGTGCTCGTACAAGTCACAACTATACAAATGCATTTATCATGTATATTTACCTATTCTAACTAGAACCATAGAAATTTATATATTGGTCCGCAAATATTTATTAATTTGAAATAACTACAAAGTTGTTAATGCGAAGGATTGATTGGATATACAAATTCCAGTAAGACAGGACCTAACTATAACGGGTTTGCGTCAGCCATTCAAGATGATTTAGGAACTATCAACTGAAATAAGTAATTCATTTTTCGTGGCTCATTGTGTCATCGCCCTATCATATCCCAACTGTCTCTAATGTAATCAAATCTTAGACAATAAAATAACTATAATACTAAATTTAGAGTACTCCTATTTTTGTAACACAAAAAATACTCTAAACTTAGTATTATATACCATTTGCATATGTAACTTCTAATATATATACAGATTGGCGCACACCGATTGGCGCGGCCACCAGTTTTATAACCTACTCATATTGTTTATTGCTTTGATGACCAATCGATGGATATGTTATTAGAATAAAAACAAATAACTTTATTTTAACAAAAGAATGGAGCAGTACCACCCCCTTCTATGCAGCTTTTGCATATGTACACACACGGAAATTAATGCGTCAGTTGGCGCGGCCACCAGTTTTATAACCTGTTCATATTGTTTAGTTGACTAATAAATGGAATGATCGACAAATCTATTATGATCGATAAATCTATTATTGCTTTGATGACCAGTGGATGGATATGTTATTATAATAAAATAAATAACTTTTATTTTAACAAAACGATGGAGCCGCCCCCTTTTATGCAGCTATGGTTCCCAAAATTGCATTAGCCATTAATTGCTCTATATCTGACAAATGTTTGATTTTGCATTAGCCATTGCTCTATATCTGACAAATGTTTGATTTTGGGAACTCAAATGACCAGACTGCCTCTATCGATCGGGCACTATATTTAGCAACGTGCGACAATGCTTTGTAAGTAGGATCAAAGGATTTATTTGTGACAGTACTTATGGGATTAAATGTTTTGTTACGTCTAGTATTAAAGGTAACTGAAAACTGGCATGTGCCTACGACACATCCTGTTTGTTTTTTATAAGCAACAACCAATATTTAAATTTTACAAATTAATTTTATATTGATCTTTTCCAAACTAGAGGTATGAAGTTTTACCTCAAAATTATTATTATTATTATTGATTTATTTGTTTTTTTACATATTTGTTAATTTTAAGTGAGAATAATAATTATTCATGTGATATTTCCATCCTTTATTATGTGTGAGTAGTAATGTTTTGTTATATGTAAGATGAATAAAGTAGGGTTTACATATATATGCATATATCTTAAAAAAATTCCCATGTTTCAAATTCATATACGTATATATCTTCCCATGCATATATTTTTTCCATTGCTATTTGAACAATATTTTTTCTATGCTAAACAAAATAATTATTTTAAGAATATATATGATTTATTTCATATGCTTAAATAACTTAGCTATTTATCCTACCAAGCTATGGTTGCTTTTTATGACGTTTAAAAAAATAATTAATACTTCATCTGTTTCAGGTTATAAGACGTTTTGACTTTGGTTAAAGTCAAACTGCTTTAAGTTTGACTAAGTTTGTAGAAAAAATAGTAAATTTTTAACCCAAGACAAATTTATTATAAAAATATATTCAATTATTGATTTGATGAAATAATTTAGTATTATAAATATTACTATATTTGTTTACAAACTTAGTTAAACTTGAAACAGTTCAACTTTGACCAAAGTCAAAATGTCTTATAACCTGAAACAGAGGGAGTATATTTTTTGGGTAGCCCATATGCATGTCAGCAGAGCTTCCGGAGGCCATCAATTGCACTAGCACACCTGTAAGAGCAGGATCAATAATAGAGTAGGCAATCGGCTCCAATTTTTTCCAACTCATATAGAGCACTTGTTATAGCTCATGTATACAATAACTAGCTATACTACTGGGGCCCACCTATTTCACCAAGCATTAAAATATCAATACTCCCGCATATGGCATGTGAGCTCTCTGTCTCTCTCCATCCTCATCAACGTGCTTTTTTCGAAACATGTGCTATAGCCGAGCAATAAAACTGTTGCCGGCTCGCATTCTCTTTCCTCCCCTCTCTCCTCCAGCGCATCACTATAGCCGATGTGGCCTTCTTGTCGCCGTCTACTCTGGACTATTGTACTCGCTCTAACTCTGTGAGCAGAGCATCCAGACAGACCAACTAGCATCCATGCATGGGCTTACGCTAATCATCTCACGGCTCGACAGCGTGTAGCAAAACCGCTGAACAGAATAGGGAGATGTGTCAGGCTTACGCTAATCATCTCACGGCCCGACTGCGTGCAGCAAAACCGCCGAACATAATAGAGACACGTGTCAACAAACTGTTGGTGGCTAAATCTACCAATCAGCTGGCGGGGAGATCCGTCAGCTTTAGAAGTATAGATACTGGTATATGAGCTGTGATCATATGTGAGGATGAACAGGTATATCAACAATCGGATAATTTAGAATTTAATTATGCAAGTGAATTAACTAATCATTTCTGTTGATTCCCCGTATCATCCTTCGTAGTCCTACCTTAAGTCCATGATTCTCGAAATCTTTAAGGCATTAAAATATATATCTACCATACTATGTTTTCAGTCCTTGTGATGATTAAGGTATACTATATTTTAGAAGTTATATATGTGCAGATGGTGTATACTAATAACATTTATATGTTCGGCTGATCAGGTTTAACGACTTGTTTAAATTAGTTCCCATGTTTATACCTTGAGCATCACGGCTTGAGCCGGTGGCACGGTGTGGAACAAGTCACCTGCAACATAGTTAACGACACCATCATTGGGCGCCTTGTCGATCACCTTGGGAAGGTCCAGCACAGTGCACTTGACATGAGGGTAGGCCTTGGCGATGGCCCTCGCCGTCGTGCCGTCGCCGCCGCAGCAGTCGGTCAGCGAACGGAGCCCCCGGAAGAGGTCGCGGCACTCCCTCAGGATGGTGCCGATGCCGAGGTTGTCGTGCGCCGCCAGGCCTTCGTTGACGACGGCGTCGAGCTCCGGGTCCAGCAGCGCAGTGCTCTCGTCGAACAGCGACGCGCCGTGCACGTCCTCGAACGGGGACGGGAGCGGCGGCGCCACGTCCTTCCTGAACCACTCGTCCAGCCCCAGCGCCGCCTCGAGGTAGTGCCGCGACGTCGCGGCGAGCACGAAGGACGTCTGGCTGTGGTGCTCGTCGGCGACGACGCCATCGACGAGGATGCGGGACAGCGGGGTGAGGCAGTACCGCTCGACCTCGCCGTCGTTGTGCTCTGCGGCGAACACGCCGTTCGTGACGAGGACGCGCATGAGGCGGCGGAGGAACGGCTGCTTACTCGCCGGGAGGGACAGCTTGGTCATGAGACCGGGCACGGACGCGGCGCCGCCGAGGCGGTGGATGGCGGTGGGGATGCCCAGCTTGATGGCGCAGCGGAGTCCCGTGGAGGTGAGGTAGTAGAGGCTGTGGCGCCACAGATCGGCCTGCGCTTGCAGCAGCTCAGCGTCAGTGGGAACCTCTATTGTGTTAGCCTGATCCGCCATTGCACGCGCTCTCTTCGTAATGTCTCTGCGCGTCAGTGGTGTGATCCGATGCTTTGCTTTGTTGAGTGTGGCAAGGGCCTATAAATAGCGTGAATCGGTAGTACTAATGTACTATTAACTAGCTAGACAGCTATTTCCTCCATTTTACAATGTAAGTCATTCTATCATTTCCCATATTCATATTGATTTTTAATTAATCTAAATAGATATATGTCTAGATTCATTAACATCAATATGAATGTGGGAAATACTAGAATAACTTAAATTGTGAAATACTCCCTCCGTCTCATAATATAAGTGATTTTGGGTGGATGTGACACATCCTAAAACAATGACTCGGGACATACGGTATATATATATACGATGGGACCGAGGGAGTATATATATCTCTATACTTAAATATAAACATTTCTAGCTTTTCTAAGAGAAGCTAACGATGAAAAGAAAACAATACGGTACCTCTCATTAATTAAACAGTCGGCACCTCGCGCCTTGTCATGGGTTTTGTACTTTTATTGTCAAACAAAATCGAAGTTCTAAATGGTTATGTGTAACTCTTTATATGCAAAATATATGATTATAATACAATTCATGTATTATTTTTAATGTCATTGTATATTGTATAATTTATGAATGTTAGGGATTGTTCAGACTGATACAATATCGAACCATACCATCTTTTGATAAAATTATCAAAAAGGTGCATCCATTTAGTTTTTCACCAAACTTTGATAAATACATAAGAAATCCTATCAAAACTTGGCAATATTACTAAATTGCCAAAAATTTTTGCATTGCCACAAGGTTTATTTTGGCTATAATCTGAACAACCCCTTATTTTTATGTACAATACTGGTATCATTGCAGTTAGATAGTTTGCATCTCTCTACTTCACTCAAGCTTGCTCTGAAAATGGGTTCAAGTAAAGATATATACATAATAACTATATGCTATCTAATCATGCATAATTAAACAAAACTCACATATTAAAAATTAATTTGAGTTGTATTCAGGAAAAAATAGCATTATTTTTCATGACTTTAAAGGAAAAAACATGGTGTTATGTGCAAAATAAGTAAGAGTGTTACGTGTGACTATGAGGTGGAGCAAAGAGAGATAAATGGATGACTAATAAATAATTGAATCAAATGGATAAGTAGCTTCTTGATCCAACGGTTGTTATATTTGTACTAATACAATATGATGGTTTAAAATTGTTTATGATGTGGCTTCTTGCATATCTTGTTTTATAACATTAACTGTCCCATTGTAAGTACCAACTATATATGAAAATAAGATGAGAGGTAGTTAAAACATGAGATCGGGTAAAAATTATATAGGGATAGTTGGTCTGATAAATGAAAACAATGTTACATGAAAATATAGCTATTTCCTCTATCTTTTGTCCTGCAAGTTACCAAGATAGTCTTGTAGTGATGGTCGACGAAGTATATCTTAAGAAAAAAATATTAATGTTAGCTGAGTATGTAGCTCTGGCATATATATATATCCAACTGACTCAAAACTGTAGCATTCAAATAACTTATATTTCTCTCATTGAATGAGATGGTTAGAGAGTATGTGTGGGTGGGGGGTATTATTGAGAAAAGATGCTTAATAAGAGGTGATACAAAAAAGTGCTGTTTTAGAATTATAAATTTTCTTCACAAAATTTATTTATGTTTGGACAGGAGGAATATGACAGAACGAGTATATAAGTACTATCATTAAACAAACTATCATAATTAATATATATATTTATTTAAAATATATTACTTTTATAGATATTATTGATTAAAGTAGTATATTTTGAAGACTATATCAGAGTTTAAAAATACGGATGGAGTATGCTACTAACCTGTAGGTTGCCACGCATGGATCGGCAGCATCAAGAAGTGAGTAAGACGTTAATTAAAGGCAGCTATATATATTTATATATATTTATAGTAATAAGAGGTTTAGTTTGCACCGCGTGGCGCGCGTGATAGCTACGTGCGTGATACGTTTCAACTATACTCCCTCCATAAAAAAAAAAATCAAGTACGAAGATGTAGCGCAACGAATTCTAGGCAGCAGCGATATCCATGTACTCCTACTAATCCTGGGACAGTGAGATATTATACTCACGCGTATCTGGGACGGTGATAATATTAAACTCAGACATGTGCACCTGCACGTGCTTGCTATTTTAATTACCGCATGGGAAGTATTGAATGCGGATTTCTACTTTTAATAATAAAATTAATTCTGCGTTTACTTCCAACAAACTACGACAAACGACTAAAAAATAATTACATAATTACGTCTTGATAAAAACAACAACAATAAAAAAAAGCCTCACTACGGCGCTCTAGTAGTAATCAATCAGAACAGTTATCTTATTTTATCGAAGGATTCAAATTATTAATGCTACCACCCTAAATAGCGGTAATAGAAATATAGAGGGGCATTATTGTCAGAAAAAAATAAGTGCCAAGGGTATAATCGTCGTTTACCAGTCAGTAAACTTTTGTTTTCTCCTTTTCTAGCTTTTTTTATGAAATATGAGCGATGCCACCGCAATGGATGATCATAGATCGATTTAGCCGGGAAAAAAGCAAAAATGACAAATATTGGTAGATGATTACTAATTTACCCATAATAATACTGGTAGTATAATAATACCAATAGAGAGCACCGGAGTATCGCTAAAAAATATCACCTTAAAGAGATATTATTTCTAAGCAATTGCTCAGTATTCACTCTGATTTTCGAAAGTATTTTTGATGGGCATAGTCTTTATGTCTCATAGACAAAACTTTACAAACAATTTTGTTAACAATACACTTGGTCGTGTTTGTATAAATATTATCTCATTCCTTTTATTTTAAGTTACTTGGTTGTATTTGTTTAGATAGTGCGCTGAAGACATTTTTTTTTGCCCTAATGCAATGTCTACCTTTGTTGAAACTGCGTCTGATGCAAGGACATACTACCACACTCTCTTTCTTTTTCATTTATTTGGAACAATATATAAAATCCTAAGTGGCAAGAGTATTAATTAACCATAGACACTTACATTGGGATCATTCCTTAAGGTAGTCCTCATGAAAGGCAAGACCCATTTTCCTTATGTTTCCTTAATAAATTCATTGCCACATAAAAATAAGTTCGACGTGACTGGCCATTTAATTTCGTCGACATCATAGTTATTTTATATTGTTAATGATTTTACCAAATGTAAGTAGTTTAAAATTCTTAGACACTAATTTTTGTAGTCTTCTTGTATATAACATAAAAGAGGAGTACTGTACAAATTAAGGTCATTTAGTTATTTTTCAGTGCTTGCATATAAGTCTAAAACGAGATACATTTGAGAGTAGGAGGATCGAGTAAATATATATTATGTTGCGCAATAACATTTTGACCTCTTAAATTTCGGATTAATTCCAAAATATAAATTTAAATATTTTCATTAGCAACTTGTGTTGTATATCATCGGACAAGTGCGTTGTCCACAATGTTCGATCAGTTGCGCTACTATGCAACTATGCAAGGGGTTCATAAGGGTGCGCGCCTCGTCGCTGGTTTTACAAAGGGATTGTCTAATTTGTTTGCCAAGGAAATTAAAGGACAGTGGACTGAGTTTTATAAACTTATATTGAGCTGTCTATAACATCGAATATGCTTTTAGTGTAAAAGTGTCTGTGATATGCTACAAGGAGAAGAAAGATCAACCGAATAAATCTTAATCGAAACAAGTTAATAAATAACTATGAGGTCTACGCTAAGTTGTTTATTTCCGCATGCTTTGGGCATGGATTATTTTACATTAATTTTCATTGCCATGATTACAATCAATTAAGACCCGGTAGCAGGCTCAATAATGATGCATGAGTGTATCTCTCTGGGGGAAAATGGGCACCACATGTGTCTGTTGGATAGTGCTAACTACGCAACCCCTTCTTCCACGGGGGTTGTATCTATTACTTAAATAAACTAAGGGAACTCAGACTCCTACTCATCTAATCACTCGTGGGATTAATGGTGTTCACACCCACATACCTATAAATTTTACGGTTAATTGGATACATGCCATTATAAATTTCTCAGTTTTGAAATTTACCATTACAATTCATGTATTTAGAATCATATCACTAATGTTTCTTTGTTGTTGTAATGGTGCCATTGACATACACAGTTCACATATCCTTGACATGCCCCCATCCTCAACCTCTCTCCCTCGGTGAGCAAGAGCAGGCCGGAGCGTTCTCTCTCTCTCCCCTACGAGTAGCAGCTCTCCTTGGCGGCGGAGCTTGGCGGCACCTCTCTCTCCGGCGAAGACGGGCGGCACTGTGGGCCGGTCGCGAGGGCAGTCGGGCGTAATGGATTCGGCTGCGTCCATGCGAGGGGACCAACCGCCAACGACAGGGATACGACAGCTATTTGAGCAACAGCCAACAGAAATCAAATCACCTTTGCCTCCTCTTCCATCTCCCTAGAGCCGCTGCAGCTTCCGTCGAAGAAATTGCTGCCCCTGGCCTCGTCCCAACAAGGGCTCTGACAGGTTCTCCGGCGAGGCTGGACAAGCTCGTGGTTGCCTCATTCTCCATGGCTGAGCTTGATTATACCTGTACCTTGAAATCTAGTCTGAATCACATGTGTCCTATCAATTGATCGAAGAGCAAAAAAAAAAAAAAAAGGAAAAAAAAACAAGAAGCTGGCCATGGCGTTTGTCTATTGGTGGATCAAGAAGAAGATGCCTTTTGGACGGGGAGAGTGGGGATGAACAGCGAGGCCGACCACGGCAGCACTCGGCCGGAGGTAGGGAAGAAAGGTTCCCATGCTCCGGGTGGCTTGGGCACCAGGCATAGAACAACTCTAGCGCAGGGAGAGGGAGGAGGTTGAAGACGGGGACATTTATATCCAATACGGGTAAAATACGCATACTAGTGGTATGTTAAGCATGTAGTTCATCATTCTAGCTCAAAAAGAAGCCCCTCTCGGTTGCCAGATCTATTTAACTAGTTGATACCCCACGCTTTGTTACCGGATATATATATGGATGAAT